AGACAGATAGATAGATGGATGGATGGATGATTTGATCCCATCTCTTTTCAAACCCGTGGCAGCTTATCCATAAAATATATCACACTACAACAAAAGAACAAATAACTCCCCAAAGGAGGTGTACACTGGAATCCCACCCACCCAGGATTGGTTCCCTCTGGAAAGAATTGGTCTTCTGGCCAGCATTGGGGTTAACCTCACTTCAAGCAGAAGGCTATTTTAAAGGGCTGGAGCAGCTTCCCCCAAATACTCTCGTGACCTCCCCAACATGAGGAAACAACCAGCTACCTCTCCCAGCATAAGAGTCAGGCCAATTCCAGTGAGAAGATCTATGGTCCTGTCATAGGCCTCAGAGAAGGAAATGACAAGAAATTGAAGCGGTAGGAGAAAGGGCAGATTCAAGCAAATCATCAGTCTAGAATTGTTGCGTTCCCATGAATGGTCCAATTTCTCTCAAACTGCAACTTAATGTGTGGTCCCAATTCTTTGTTCTTGACAGAAGCCAGGAATTGAAGCTTAGAGACTTCATCCATCCTTCAGTCTTGAGAACCCAATGCCTCAACTGTCACTTGGTGTAACAACCCAACTGCCAGATCTTCGGTGGTTAGCAAGGTTACTTGAAGATCAGAGGCCCTTCTTGGCATTCCTCTCTTTGGAAAAAGACTGAGGTCAGTCCTCTGGGGTAAATGAGATGGAAACACTAACAGTTCAGTTAATTCTACTTTATTATAAGGCTACATTAACAGAATCTTTATATTAACAGAACAGTAGACTCAAGTATTTATTTTAAATTCTGTTATAGAAATATCCCAATCAAAGAGGAACACAAACAAATCACAAGCAATAAATCTTACTTTAAGATCAGAGGTTTATTTCATGAGCAATTTGGAACATGAAAAGCCATCATAACGTTACTTATATCAATAACCCATTGCAATGAGGTCCACTGACATGGCTGAGTCCAGCAAGGAGTAGCCATGGCCAGTAGCCCTGAACTCATCCCAAGACATTCTTTTTATACTTTTCTGCAAAATCCCATTTCAGAGCAACAGCACAGCAGGATTACAAATAGCTCTGGTACATTTTGAAATCATCTTATCTAAAAATTTGGTTCATGTCTCTTTATTCTGGCATCTGCTATCCTCCAAGGGCCTTGTTGAATCTGATAGATCAATAGCCTATATTTTTCTTCCCACAATTCCTTTCCAAACAAACCTCTTTTGATCAGGGTGTTGAAATTAGATGGCCGATCGTCAGCCTGAAGCGTAAGAGGTAACAGATAACAGATAATCAGAGTTGGAAGGGACCTTGTAGGTCTTCTAGTCCAACCCCCCGCCCAAGCAGGAGACCCTACACCACTTCTGACAGATGGCAGTCCAATCTCTTCTTGAAAGCCTCCAGGGATGAAGCTCCCACAACTTCTGAGGGCAACTTCTGTTCCATGGGTTGATGGTTCTCACTGTCAGAAAGTTTCTCCTTATTTCCAGCTTGAATCTCTCCTTGTTCAGTTTCCATCCGTTATTCCTTGTCTGGCCTTTGGGTGCCTTGGAGAATAGCTTGACCCTTCCCCCTCTCTGTCGCAGCCCCTTAAATATTGGAAGACTGCTATCATGTGTCCCCTGATCCTTCTCTTTACTAGACTAGCCAAGCCCAGTTCCTGCAACCATTCATGAAATGTTTTAGCCTCCAGCCCCCAAATCATCCTGGTTGCTCTTCTCTGCACTTTTTTCTAGAGTTTTCAACATCTTTTTTATAGTGTGGTGACCAAAACTGGATGCAGGACTCTAGGTGTGGCCTTACTAAGGCTTTATAGAGTGGTATTAGTACCTCCCTTGATCTTGATTGTGATATTTCTAGGAACATTCTTTTAAGGAAATGTGAAGCAAAATGGATGCGTTTAATTCCACTTAACATAATTAGCATGAATTAATTAATAGTTGGTTTTTGTTTCAGGCAGCCTTGCGGATGAAAGCGCCAGGCCCATGATGCAGACGGGGAGCAGATTGGTCGTTTTTTTGCTGTAGAGAAACGGAGGGCAGGAATTGCTGACATTAATTCTACCAGCAATGTTTTAAATGTTATATATCCCCCAGGATGTTTCTCCACAGTGTCTCATCTGTCAGATTGTTACAGGCACTAAGAGCTTCAGTGTTTATTTTTGCACCTATAAAAAGTTTCACCCCCCCCCCGAGCACCAGAAGATTCATCCATCATGCCGAGGTGGCCTATGGCAGAACCATCTGGTGAATTTTAGCCTGTGATGGAGTTTTTAATGAGCCGGGTGGCATCTTGAGCCCAATAAAACTGCTTGAGACGCAGAATGCAATGGAATAGAGAATAGAGAATAGAGAATAGAGAATAGGATAGGATAGGATAGGATAGGATAGGATAGGATAGGACAGGACAGGACAAAACAGAATAGAATACAGGAATAAGAATAGAATAGAATAGAATAGAATAGAATAGAATAGAATAGAATAGAATAGAATAGAATAGAATAGAATAGAATAGAATAGATGAAGACTAAAATAGAATAGAATAAATGAATATAATAGAATTCAGGGATGGAATGGAATGGAATGGAATGGAATGGAATGGAATAGAATAGAATAGAATAGAATAGAATAGAATAGAATAGAATAGAATAGAATAGAATAGAATAGAATAGAAGAGTTGGAAGGGACCTTGGAGGTCTTCTAGTCCAACCCCCTGTGGAATGGAATAGAATAGAATAGAATAGAATAGAATAGAAAATAGAATAGAATAGAAAATAGAATAGAATAGAACAGAATAGAATAGAATAGAATAGAATAGAATAGAATAGAACAGAATAGAATAGAATAGAAAGCTGGAAGGGACCTTGGAGGTCTTCTAGTCCAACCCCTTTCTTAGGCAGGAAATCTTATACCATTTCAGACAAATGGTTATCCAATCTCTGCTTTAAAACTTCCAGCGTTGGAGCATTTGGTGGCGCAGTGGTCAGAATGCGGTACTGCAGGCTACTTTTGCTGACTGTCGGCTGCCTGCAATTGGGCAGATCGAATCCCATCAGGCTCAGGGTTGACTTGTCCTTCCACCCTTCTGAGATGGGTGGGTAAAACGAGGATCCAGATTGTTGGGGGCAAGAGGCTGACTCTGTAAACTGCTTAGAGAGGGCTGTAAAAACCCTGTGAAGTGGTATATAAGTCTAAGGGCTATTGAGACTGCAGGCTAACTCTGCCCACTGCCAGCAGTTTGATTCTCACTAGGCTCAAGGTTGACTCAGCCTCCCATCCTTCCGAGGTGGGTAAAAATGAGGACCCAAAATTGTTGAGGGCAAGAGGCTGACTCTGTAAACCGCTCAGAGAGGATTGTAGAGCACTATGAAGCGGTATATAAGTCTAAGTGCGATTGCTATTTACAACTTCCAGAGGCAAGTTATTCCACTAATTGTTCTACCTAAAACTACAAAGAGACCTTCCCTAGTTTCTCCAGCGTAAAGGGGGAGCGGGAGAATTATATTGTCTGTCTCACAAGATTCTGTCGATGTGGCTTTGCAATAAAGTAGAATTAGCTCATCTGACTGTGATTCCCATCTAGTTTATTCTGCAGACTTGACAGAACTGCGATGGTGCAAACTATAACTGAGCGTTTTTAATGTGCCGCACCAAGCCAACCATTGCAAAACATGATTTATGACTCAAGGCTGAGAAGTAGAGAGGCGGCCTTGAAGAAGGCATGCAATCGAGATTATTTAAATGCCAGTGTAGACTTGGAAAGAAAGTGAGGAGGAACAGCCCCGATTGCATGGCAGGCCAGCTGGGGAATCGGCAACCCTCAAGCATAAATGTTTAAACCTTTAGGAAAATCTCCGGAAATGTCTACACCAGCAACAAGGTGGCACAGCAAAGCAGTAGATTGATTGCTTATTGTACCCCATGACTATCATTAAGTGTTGTACCTGATGATTCTTCAATCTTGACAATCTTCAATCCAAAGATTCTTCAATCTTTTCTTTTATGTACACTGAGAGCATTTGCACCATGACAAATTCCTTGTGTGTCCAATCACACTTGGCCAATAAAAAATTCTATTCTATTCTATTCTGTTCTGTTCTACTCTATTCTATTCCATATTCTATTCTCTATTCTATTGTATTCTATTCTCTATCCGGTTCCATCCCATCCCATCCCATTCTATTTAAATTATATTCCTATATCCTTCTATTCTATTCTATGACTATCATTAAGTATTGTACCTGATGATTCTTGACTCTTGACGAATGTATCTTTTCTTTTATGTACACTGAGAGTATTTGCACCAATTCAAATTCCTTGTGTGTCCAATCACATTTGGCCAATAAAGAATTCTATTCTATTCTATATTTTTCTTTCTTTCTTTCTTTCTTTCTTTCTTTCTTTCTTTCTTTCTTT